GCGGCAGAGACTCCTGGCGGATCTTGGAGAGTTTGCTGGAATTGCGCTGCAGTAGAACCTCTGTGCACTGGGAGGACCCAGTGCTTTCTTCTGCATACAGCAATGTGAGAATACCGAGTATAAGCCGACCTGAATGTCAGCCGAGGCACCTAATTTTACCACAAAAATGGCATTTAAAACTGTGCTGAAAGCTGAGCTTATATACGAGGATATACGGTAAAGCTTTCTATTTTAGGAGGATAGCAGGTATCTTAGAGATGAGTCTGCCATCTTTTGTGTTGTAAAAAGAAAACAAATTTACAAGCCTCTTTCTCTACATGGATGTTGCTACTGTGGAGTGTGGCTTGGTCTAAACAGGTCAGTGCTTCACCTTGATGTACAAACGAGGGTCTACTCAGGCGTGAGAACACGTTCTTTTCTTGATCAGAACTAAGCATGATTGATAGGACAAATGGAGAGAAATGCTCAACAAGCAAGGTGGCTCTTTGAGACGGTGTGGTGAATCTAGCGTCTGAAAGAAGGCACTCTTGCTTTACACTGAACTAATCTGAGATTGCAACAATCCTCCTACCAATGAAGTTGTCAGACTATGTCATGACGTTGGACAAGAGAAACAGAGCATTGTCTCCTGTCTTGCTCAGCTAAGCACCACCATAAACTCTGCAAATGCTCCAAAAGGCGGCTCGAGAGGAAGAGAGGGAAAGATGGTTGGAGGAAGGCAGGCTGGTTGGAAACACAGAGATGGGAGGAGCAGCGGCGTATAGGGCATCTTAAATGCCAGTATCCAACCAAAGGACACCAAGCCTGGCATTTTCTCACCTGGGTTTAGCAATAGAAAACAGCCTAGGTAGGTTTATTCCCCTCTGGGTCATTTGACAAGCCTCCATGTCTGACAAGGACGAGCAGTTAGAAGACTCACTCATAATCAAGGGGCCTGAGACCCCCTCTTTTTAAGGAAGATACTGGGGTGTGCAGGTGGCACTGCCTACCTCAGTATCTCTCCCGGGCTACAGCAAGTGGAGAGGGCTCTTTGACCCTGTGGTTGTTACATACCGTATATACCCGAGTATAAGCTGACCTGAATATCAACGGAGGCACCTGATTTTACCACAAAAACTGCATTAAAAAGTATGCTGAAAAACTCGGCTTATACATGAGTATACATGGTAATCTGGTGTCAATTTGAGATTATTAAGAGTGAAGGGGTGGAGTTTAGCCTGTCAATTAGGTCGCACCTTGATCTCATTTAGAGGAGCAATGGAGATAGCCTACTGGAGGCCAGAGACACTCACGTCCTGTGAGACATTCCTGCTGACAAGCCACATGGAGCTACGCTGACAAAACCAGAGCCCTGGAGCTGGAGGAGCCACGTGGAGACCCACGCCAGCGCTGAGATGCTTCCACCGCCACTGGTTCCACTTACTGGCCTGTGATCTTCCTGAATTCAGCAACATTGCCTGACTGCGTCAGTCTAAAGAGGAATTTATGGACTAGTATCGACATATGGGATAACCTTGGACTTACTTGATGTGTACTGGGCTGGGCTGTTTTCTTAATGTACAATTGCTCTTTGATATAAAGTTCTCTCTTACACACATATGTCTATGAATTTCTTGCTCTAGTCCACCCTGACAAACACAGACCTCAAATCACATGAACAAAGAAGGTACAATCACAACAAGTTGTCCAAAACGGTCTTTGTCCTTGAAGGAAACAAGGAGAAATGAAGGCTCCCACCGCATTCCTTCTCCCTGGAGAGCTAGCTGGAGAGCTAGCCTCAGGGGCCCTCTCCTGTTCCCTCAGGCAGCATCCGCAGAAGCGCCAGATTAGCCAACTCAAATAATTTTACAATCGCTGTGAAATTATACTAAAATTGATGCTGAAAATGTAACCTAAAAAAGGATAACTGACTAATAATATGGAAGATCTAAATAGCATTCAACCTCTTTTACATAACAATAAAAATATCCTGGATACATGGAGAGTCATTTGGCATCACAAGAACCCCAGTTTACAAATGTCTTGAGACAGGCAATTGGTCGATACCAGTACTGAGATGAATAAAATGTTAGGGTTATCTGAGAAGGAGTTTAAAACAACCCTTCTAACAAAAATGAATCAATCGTATATATTTTCATGACATAACTAGAAAGAAAAGTTTTACAGAATAATAGGAGTTATTAAAAATGAAATTTATAGAACTGAAACTTACAATAACAGTATAAGAAAACAAAATTGGACTGAAAGAATGGAATAGAAGAATAGAAATGACAGGTCTGATAGGACCATTGTATCTGAGGACAAAACAAGAAAATGCATCCAATCTGAAGGACATAAAAGACAGAAAATAGATTGAAATTTAAAAAAAATAGCAGAGATGTGGGAAACTGAAACAATAACAAAGAGACTAAGTGAACTCCATCATTCATATGCCATCACCCCAGTACGAAGAGACAGTGACTAAAATATATTTGATAAAATAATGACAGAAAATGGTCTAATTTTGGTGAACCTGAGTGGCCCCCAGGAGCTCTGGGTGTAGTTACACATGGGGCTTCTAATCCCAAGGTCCATAGTTTGACACCACTAATCGCTCCACAGGAGAAAGAGGAGATTTTCTACGCTTGTGAAGAGATAGAGTCTCAGGAATCCACCAGTTCGTTCTAGCCTATTCTATGGGATCGCTAATGCGTCGTAATTGACTTGATGGCAGTTAGGGTTTAGGAGTTTTTTGGTTTTCTGTGACCTTCACGGGATAAACCAACCAATCCACAGAACACACAATGATTAAACTCTTGCAAACAAATGATAAAACAACATATATATATATATATATATATATATATATATATATATATATCCCCTAATATATAAGTATATGTGTGTGTATATACACATTATATATATTATACACACATATATTTATATATATTATACATATATATAATATATATACATTATATAAATATTTTATATATATATAAAATCTCCAAGATAGTTGGAGGAGATGAGTCACTCAGGGTGCAGTGTAGCATCGAAGAAACATATAACTTTCCTCTAGTTCCTAAATGCTTCCTCCTCCCCAACCCCACTATCATGATCCCAATTGTACCTTACAAATCCTGCTAGACCAGAGGCTGTACACTGGTACAGATAGGAACTGGAAACACAGGGAATCCAAGACAGATGATCCCTTCGGGACCAGTGGGGAGAGTGGTGATACCAGGAAGGTGGGATAGAAAGGGGGAAACCAATTACAAGGATCTACATATAACCTCCTCCCTGGGCGATGGACAACAGTAAAGTGGGTGAAGGGAGACATCAGACAGTGTAAGATATGATAAAATAATAATAATTTATAAATCATCAAGGGTTCATGAACGGGGGGAGCGGGGAGGGAGGGGGAAAATGAGGAGCTGATACCAAGGGCTCAAGTTGAAAGCAAATGTTTTGAGAATGATGATGGCAAAAAAAATGTGCAAATGTGCTTGACACAATGGATGTATAAATGGATTGTGATAACAGTTGTGCGAGTCCCCAATAAAATGATTTAAATTAAAATAAATAAATAAAAGTAAATTACCTGCAAAACAAAAGAAGAAAGTTTCTGTGTTGAATGAAAAAAGCCCTGGTAATGGGATGCATCAAGTGTTTGTTGCTCACTGCAAGGTCAGTGGTTCAAGCCTACCAGTCCTCCCAAGGGAGCAAGATGAAGCAGTCCACTCCCATAAAGATTTACAGGCTTGGAAACTCTATGGAGCAGTTCTCCTCTGTCATTATGAGCTGGGAATCCAGTTGGTGGAAGCTGGTTTTGAGGGGGAGTGTGTTGAATGAATTTACTTTCTTCACAAACTGATAAGATATCCCTTCTTCAGGCACATTCTTTCTTAGCCTCACTTCTAATTTCTAAGTATACTCATGATGATGATCAGTTATAAACACTTGTATAGTTATGTTCCCCCGTAGGCAGTGAGCTCTTTAAGTTCAGATTCATCATTGTACACGTAGATAGATTCTGACTTTTACCTTAAGCGTCTAGTGTTCTGTAAATGTTGAATGAACACACATTTATCCTCCCACCCTCCCAGGTTTGTCTCCATTTAAAAAAATCCTCTCCATTGATGAGGGGAGGGAAGAGATAGAAATACAAATCCTTATTTTGTCTCAGTAGTTTAATTCATTTGAAACTTCTGTCTCCATCCAGGTAGTGTATTATGAGAGACTTCGTGTACAGAATGGTTAAGGTTCTAAAGCTAGGCCTGATTTGGTGTGGAGTCCTGGATTTGTCACATCAAGTTCTGTGCTGTATACAGCCTTTCACACTCTTTTAAGCCTGTTTCCATTTATAAAAGGAGCGCAATCAATGTTTGATGGGTTGTGGTGAGCACGGACTGTGGTCATATGTGGAAACTACTTCACGCAAGGATCAGAATGCTCAAGAAAGGGTAGCTATTACTATTATCTTTAAAAACATTCAGTAGTGAAGTAGACAGAGAAATGTTAAAGAAGCAAAAATTGTTAAGTGGTAGTGAATCATAAAGAGGCCCTGCTGACAATATCAAATAAACATTGGACTGCTAATCCTTTGACCACTGGTTCAAACCTACCAGCTGCTCCCAAGGTTAAATAAAGTTGAGGCTGTCTGCTCCCTTAAAGATTTATAGTCTCAGAAATCCCATAGACGGTCACTGAGTCGTGGATTGGATGGCAGTGGGTTAATATACCATAGATTTGATTTTAGCAATGTCCCCCATAAGGCAAGCAGATATGTCTAATAAAATTACAATTTGGTAAGAGGAATTCCTTTTACAGTTTATCAGTTTTTACCTGGTTCTGGGAAGCTTGCTAACATTTTCTTAAAAGAAAAAAAGTGATCTAAAAAAAATCCCATGCTTGGTTTTGTATTTTGAGCCTGAGGTAAGATTTTAGCAAGGAACTTATGATTTTTATTTTCTTTTAATGCAAAGCTATCAGCGTGACTTATTGAAAACAAAACAAAACATGGTTAGCATGTGTTGTTTATTCATTTCTATTGTATCGAAAAGTAAAATATATTGAAATACTTTGTTAAAAATAAGTCTTTACATGGTTTTTAGAAGTTGAGTGGCAAACAGTTTACAGGTAAAGCTAAAATTTTCAAACAAAATCAGTTGGTGGTCTTTATGAAATTATAGAAGCGAGTTGTGATCCAGTTTAAGTATCTGAAGCAGTTCCCACATTAAGACATTCTCAAGAAACAGGGAACAGAGAAACTTAGGTAAAGCACCAGCCGTCACCGGGTTACCTAGTTAACACGGATTTCTCCGTGGCTCCCATCACCTGGATGGAGGACAGGGGGAGAAAAGGAAGCCGCACTCATAGAAAGCAGCAGGACCCTGGAATTATATTTGCTTAAGGAACTCCCCAAAGGCATCGTGGTCACGTGATTACATTTCTGAGGAGCAGACGAGTTACAATAATTAAGGCTCAAGATCATGCATTCGTAATGAAATACAGTTACTGATACTGAAACGGCATTAAATGTAATACAACATACTTAAAGCCAATGACATATATATTTTCTTAATTAATCCCTTTGTCTATCATAGGCATGTTGAAACCAATCTTCCTACAAAGGGGAATCTCTAACACCAGAATATCTACCTGTATGGGTGTGATTGTTTCTATTTTTATAAGGAATCAAGAAACCAACTATTTATACCTATCTTTTAAAAACATTTCCACAGTGACAACCAAAGTTTAGGCTTTTCAAGTTGTTCAAATAGGAAACGTTTTCTGCAGTCATTATTTGTCATTATTATATGATGCGATAAAAGCAATAAAAATAACCAAATGGTAAGAGATGATGTAAAAGCTAACTTGCATATGCTAATGTTGTAAAACAATAGAAATAATGACCAGCATCCCTTTTCATCTCCCAGTTTGCAGCCCTCGGCGTTTGAGGATCCTCGTTCCTCTGAACTGTAGGAATCCTCAAGCTCAGCGGCAAGTACTTTAAAGCGACTACAGTTTCCCAATTAAGGACCAACCGTAGCCCTCAACTCGGCTCATTCATACTGTGAATGCATCTGGCAGATCTTATATGGCTGATGTAACATTCTGAATAAATGCTAAGACACTTGGTTTGACAGTAAGGTAAAGCTTATGTCTACTAACATACTCTCTATCACAACATTTTAGTGAATGTATACTTTAGAAAAGTATGAAATAGAAGAAAACAAAGGAGGCCACAACTCCAGTCCACTTTAAACTCTCCATTCTATAGTCGATTCTGTTTTAGAGTTGGAGTTTAGGGAGGATTACCCAGAGAGATGAGAACTAAGGAGACAGTGAAGAATGAAACAGTATTACTTCTTATGAGCCAAACAAAATAACAAAATCAACAACAAGCAAGCAAACAAGACCCTCTGCAATTGAACCGAGAGGCAACTTCTAAGGAATCCCTCGCAAAATTTATATTTTTCTTGGCAAGTTTATGATTTAAGGACTCATACCATCTCACTCTGTTTGAGACACCACTGGACATTCAGAAAGAACTTGTTTATACCTAAGCGCTACGAGTGGTGACTTGAGGCCCATCGCATTAGATATAAGAGATACAAGAAAGACCCCTGTGGTGCTAATCTGTAGCAAGACCTTTCCGTAAGTGCCATTCTAGTATAGAGAAGATGAGCATCCCGTCGTCCAATGCAGCGTGAAGCACAGGACCACGCTGTCGCATTGTTACGGGAGTTGTCTTTCCTGATAGATTGATTAGATTGGATCTATATGAGCAGGATGTGAATTTGGCCTTGAGCCTTGTGAATACATGCTTAATGTTCATGGGTGGGAAACAATTCATCTTTCCTTTTATTTCACTGATCTTCACCTTTTGATTTCTGATTTAAACTTTTAACATATTGTGGTATATGAGGAAGGTGAAGGGGTAGCTTTAAATGGTTGATTTCCCCTCAGCTTTACCCACATGTTTTTCCTCTTTAGCAGCCTTGACATCTCCATCATCATCTATCATATGAATGTCTGGGGTCTTGTTGACATTTTGCCTCCAACGATAACTTTTATAAGCTCGTTGAATGATAGTGGCTGAGGCGCTTTCCTGTTTTCGCTTCAGAGTCGTTGTGATTGGCTCATATGTGACCTTGAAAGGATTGGCTAACACGAACCCCGTTTCTATCTCTGAAAGGACTTTCTCCATCCTCTCCTCTGTACCCAACACTCTCCTTGTCAAAGCAAGTAAGATGTCAAGGCAATGGATTCGGTCCCCAACTGCCATGGGGAGATCCATAGCAATGAGCTGGCCCTTGTTTGGCTTTGCCATGAGAAGGGGTTGAGGCAGAGCGGCTGCAAAGTCTGAAAGCTTGCTAGAGTCTATGTACTGGGTCTTGTCGGGATCAAACCTCTCCCAGACCTGGAAAAACTTCCTAAAATCATCTTCACTCAATGTTTTGGCTTTTTTTTTAGAAACAATCTTGAAAAACTCCATGACAACAACAATGTACATATTTACAATGATCAGCCACGATATGAAGATATAACTGACAAAGTAAGCAATCCCAACGTAGGGGTTACCACAATCTCCTCGAATCTGAGTCCCAGGGTTAATTTTATCAGGATCGCAGTCAGACCATTTACTGTGGAAAATTGTACTGAGCATCCCATCCCATCCAGCAAATATGGTAACCTGAAAAATGCAAAGCATACTGCTGCCAAAAGTTTCAAAGTTGGATACATCATTGATTCCAAGTTCCTTTTTAAGATAGGCAAAGTTGTACATCCCAAAAATGGCATAAACAAACATGACCAGGAATATGAGAAGACCGAGGTTCAGCAGGGCTGGGAGGGAGAACATCAAAGGAAGAAGAAGATCGTGGAACACTTTTGGTCCTTTCCCAAGACGCAGGACGTGGACGGTCCTTGAGAGAAGAATCAGTTGGGTGAGAGCGGGAGAAATAAGGTAGTCTGTCATCACATGGAGAACTATGCCTGAAGTTTCAAAAAGATAAAACAGTAGATAAAATTATTCAAACTCATTTGCATTGAGAAGAATATAAATGGTTTATATTTATTGTTGTTTTTATACATTATGATGACTTAATGAAATGATTAGTCCCTCCTGTTTTATGGTAGCATGTGTTGAAAGTTGGGGGATAGCCAAATTCCCACTGTGGCAATTGTTAGGCTCTTTTAAGGATGATATGGATTAAATGCTTCTGAAATCATGCGCTGCATTCATCTATAAAGTAGGAGAGTAAATCTAGTTCTTATCGCTTTGGGCTCACGAAATTTAGTTAATTCCAACCTTTGATGAATTTTTAATACAGTAATTCAAATGTGCAGACTAATGACACAAGCTTTTCCCTCATAGACCTTATCGTTTAGAAATCAAAGATGTAGCTAATTACAATACAAAGCAGAAAGACATCATTCACAAACATCGTTACAGAATTGACATCCAGTGATTCCAGCATTGTAACCGAATTAAGTGCACTTAGTTCATAGACAGCATTTGGGTCGAGGCCCACTAAATGTGAATTGCACAAGGGATTCTCTGTCCCGTGCAACTCTTTTCTAAAAGTGGTGGGTCCACAGGGACGGATGGGAATGAGATGCTGATGTCAGTGCAAAACAGAGTACAATATAATTTCTGTAATGAAAGCTTAAAAGATGCTCTTTGGGAGTGCCCGACAGAATGTGGCTCCTTTTTCCAGTGTGAAGGTGAGGAAGGGAGACTCCCGTGCAGCTTATGAAATGATATGTTTGCTGAATCTGGAAGGATCATGCTTCACACTTGTATTAAAATTTGGTCAGTATCCAAGATGTCAGCCCCTCTACTGTTCTGTTGAGCTATGCCCTCATCTTTGAATTGTTCTTGGGAAGCTTTATTCAGATCCAAGTTCTCATTCCTCCTCAATTTTCTGAACACTAAGTTTATGCAAGAGACGTCCCTACCTTATTGTAAATGAATTGTCCCACATTATCACCAACCTTTCAACTCTTTCCCCCCTCTTTTTTTCAGAATGCGCAATCTGACTCCATCCGAAGGACCTGTTTTCCTTTCAGTCCTCTCAGAGATTGACAGCCTTCTCCTCCTCTTCGTATTGCTCAGGGTAGAAAGATGCAAAAAGCTGTTTTCATCGAGATCACTCCTCTTCCCTAGTCTTTAAACTTCTGATACTTTGTAAACGACATCATTTACCTATATAATCTCTACCCTTTATGATCTACTGCTTTTCCTTTCATTGTATTCATTGAGCATTTTAAGTGCTTGGCTGATTTTGCCCTCTATATGCCGGTACCTACAGTCAACAGTCAACAGCCCATCCCAAAGTTAGCCTCTCAGTCTTCAACCTTCTCGACTTCATAATTTTCTATCTATTGCCACATCCTAAACCCAGGAAACCTGTCTTACATTTCTAATTCAAACAGCTCTGTCTGACAACAATTTCCTTTTTTACAAATCTTTGACTTTCAACCGTATGTTCTTGTGAGCTGTATCGAGTAGACGTCTACTCATAGCAGCCTCACGACAGAGAGTAAGTGCCCTGTGGGGTTTACGTGGCAGTCTGTCCGGAGCAAAGTGCCAGGTCTTTTTCCCATGGGACCGCTGGGGGGTTAAACTAACACGTAACTCCAGGCTCTTTGATTTTATAATTCCTCTGTTTTCTTTCTAGTGGTCCCCTTTCGTTTCCATATTCTCTATTACATTTCTTATACATCCTTATCAATAATTAATGACATCGTTTCAGCTAATTTCTAGGGGTTTAGGTGGAAAGGCAGTCTATATATTTTATTACTATTAAAGACCTAGAGTACTGCATGGCACACAATTAAAAACTCAAATATTATCCCTATTTTCATGAAGCTTACATTCTAGTATATACTTTATGGGAAGACATACGTACAACGAATTTCTCTCTCCTTTGAAATGTTGTGTCCTGTCTTTTGTTTCGCTATCTCCTTCTCTAATAGACTTCTACTTGGAGTTCACATCTGGCAGGAAATCTGTGACCCCAGCGGAGGCATCCTAGACTCCGTTCTGCTGCTGTAGCACATCATAGCAGATAGCACATAGCACATCATGACAACACCATCTTAACACGTGGTTCAATTATCTATGGCTCTTATTAGAAAGTAAGCTATGTGCACACAGAAGTTATGCTTATATTTTTACAATGGATTTTTGTATATAGCACAATATCTACTCACAAAGAAGGTAGTAAAACATTTCTTAAAGAGTGAGATCAAATATTTGTTAATAAAGGGTGTGAGGAATAACTCGCAAACAAAAACAAAGCTACTGCCATTGAGTCCATTCCAGCTCCTAGTGACCCCACAGGACAGAGTGCAACGAGACTTTACAACAGCACCTGAGAAGCCCACCTCTTCCTCCTCCTGCATCAGCACCTGGGGGGTCCAGCCTCGGACCTGGTGATTAGCCGCTCAGGAGGCAACTGGTAACACATTAATTACGCCTACACTCTGTACTCTAAACTCTGGAAGCTTTAAAAGTTAGGGAGAAGTAATGATCTTCAGTTTTTGTTTTGTTTTGTTTTTAATTGTATATATATTTATATAGATAGATAACATAAGAAATAAACAGTTAATTAATCTATAAAGCAGTACAAATGGCTCAGTTCAACTCACTCCCGTGAGACAGCTAATATACTGGTAGTCCTTCAAGTCCTGAGGGCCCCCAGGTAGACCTCCGTAAAGCAGTTCAAGCTATCCGGGCACAGACAGCAAACAGCAAGGCCGGTCACCAACAGTGATAGGTTCCAACAACACACACACAAAAGGGAGGGGGTTCACATTCAAAGTAAAAAGTGTCTCTACCTCTTTCACAAACCATCAATTTGTTATATTGTAGTGGTTGGAAGCTATTTTACTAGTATTTAAAATACAAGCAGGTCAGCTGTTGTTTGTACAGAAATTCCCGCTAAGATAGACTAGGAAGAAAGTCTTGTAATCTACTTCCAAAAATTAGCCAATGAAAAACCCTTTTGGCTTGACTATTGCCTGAATCCTTTGCTTTGGATACATCACAAGTGATTAATTGCTAGAGAGAGACATCATGTTCAATGCAGTAGAGAGCCACTTGGATGGATTGGCACAATAGCCACTGTGGAGAGCTAGAACGGAGGACAATTCTGAGGATACTGAAGGATGGGGCAACATTTTGTTCTGTTGTACAGAAGTTTGCAATGACTAGGAATTGACTTCACAGCAGCTAAGAAAAACCTCTTACTTGTTGACAGATTATGTCTCATATTTGTTCTAGTTCTTAACATTTTCTGCTTTCTTTTAAATTGAAGTTTTTCTCTGTTTTACTTTCTTATTTTTGTTTTTGTATGTTTTTGTGTACATGAAATCCAGGATAAGTAAATCTATAGGGACAGTGATTGGATTAATGGTTCCCTGGGGGTGTGGCAGGGGCGGATGGGAGAGGTGGAGAGCTAGTAGCAATAAGTGCAAGACAGAAGAAAATGTTCTAAAATTGACAGTGGTGATGATTATACACCTCTTCTTAATATGACTGAACCAAAATGTATGACATGGGAATTATATGTCAATAGAACTGTTAAAAATGCTTCACCTATAAAATAATTTCTGATATATGATAACTACAAAAGAAAATAGGGCTAAACACAATTGTACCTGTAAGGGAAAAAATGACCACCATGAAATCAAAAATGTTCCATCCAATGGTGAAATAGTAGCAACGGAAAGAGATGAGCTTCAGTAAAAATTCTCCAGTATAGAGCAAAGCAAAAATGATGGTAATCCAGAAGGAAGCAATTTTCATTTGCTGGCTCCCATTATCGCTTTCTATCATAAGGGTTAGTGCATAGGCAAAGATAAGAACCAGGATGATGATATTAAAAATTTGACTTGTCACCATGCCAAAGATGAATCCTTGTAACTTGTTCTATGTGGGCAAAAGATATAATAATCTCATTAATAGTACACACACATACACACAGATACCACATAATCTTTAAATTCTAGAACTTATCTTCCAGCATAAAT